TGCTGTGCCCTCGGTCGCACCTCCAGGCCCCGCCCAGCCCTCCCGCGCTGTGGCGGCGACGGCTCCAGGCGGGAATCCTGCGCCCCGACGCCGCGCCCTTGGCGCATCCCGGCCGGACAGAGCAGGTTCGAGAGCCCAAGAGCTACTTTGTTTCACCGCCAGTGACTTCGTCAGACCCTTGAAGATCCGAAAGGCTAATGTACATAAATGCATGCATTAAAAGGACCCTTCGCTCACATCTCTTTAAGGGGCTTTGCCACGCAATGCGCGTCCTGGACCTCCCTTGAGCTGGCCGTGGCCGCGGAGCCCCCGCCGGCGTCCAAGCCACGGCTGTCCTGGCGCGTCCTGCGTCTCCGAAGGCCCTGGGGCTGAGGCCTTCGCTGAAGGCAACGGGTGACACCCGCAGCACAAACTGTTTTTTACCCAGTGCAAGTAAAATGAGATAGATTCAGTCCCGGCCCCCACCTTCGCGTGGCTCTATGGCTTAGCTGGTTAAAGCGCCTGTCTCGTAAACAGGAGATCCTGGGTTCGACTCCCAGTAGGGCCTTTCCTGTTTCCTTTTATTTTTTTCCGGGAGGAAATCGACATTTAATCGTGTTATATTGGGAAGTCAGGGCATTTTCTCACTGACTCCCCAACCAGCACGATGGAACACAGCTGGCTACACTGAAGGTGACCCACTGCAGCTGGTTCAGATTCCTCGCCTTTTTTTTTTTTTTTAATTTATTCATTCTCTACATTAATTCACTATACACCATCGCAACACACAAATGAATTTTCCATCCAAAATACACTGCATTGGCTCAATCAAGCACATCAACATACATGTTCTCAGCAAATAATTTTCCAATTCTTATGTCCTGCATACCTTGCCTTTTGTTTTGCCATCCTTGATTCCCCATCCCCCACCCTCTGCCATGTCCCATCCTCCTCCCACATTGTCCCTGGCATCCACGGTTGTCCTCCATGTCTTCCCCCCTCTCCCCCATTCAATTGTTCTGCCAATGTACTTAGTCTAAATATATCCAATAGCTAGCACAGCTGACACATACCTATACATGAACCCAAGTCTGACTTTAGGCATAAACCCCAGTGAGTAGAATGAACATACTATAAAGTAGTACCCAGCTGTGCCCATACAGCTCGCTGCAGTCGTCGAATATTCATTTTTTTTTTTTACAAAATGATACGAACAGTTTTAC